CTCCTGCCCCCCTTGCTTCTTGTTGGGATGGTCACCCCTTGGGCCCTGAGTATTGTCTCCTTAAGGAACAACTACTCATTTTGGGCACTGAGTTCCCCTGCTCTCGAGAACCCTAGTGCCTCTCCCACTAATCTTAACTCATTGAAGTTGGCCCTCTTGAGCTGGGTCCAAGCAGCCCCAGCTGGCAAGGGGTCCAGGGGTCAGCTTGCCTGTCTGGGGCTGCTCTGACCCAACTCAATGTGCTGCGGAGGGGCTGGCTGGGGTATGGGGGTGCTCCATTGTGGTGGTAGCTGGCAAGCAGCCCCTGCACTGAAGCACCCTTGTGCCCCAACCAGCTGCATCAGCATCTGTAAGTGCAGTGCTGTGGAGTTAAAAAAATATGCAGCAGTATGGTACTTGTATTTACAAGTACTACCCTACTGCAGAGTTAATTCATTTCCTGTGGCTTAATAGGGCAGCACATGTAGACGTGAGAAATTTACTGTGGAGCTAATTGGTCTACTCCAAGGTAACCATCTCATGTAGACACACCCAGTGAATGGTAAATAACGACAGTAAATGAGCATACCAACCACATCATATTGGTGTTAATATGTGAAACTAGATAAACCTTCTGGAGTGCAAAATTGTTTAATGAAACCAGTTATTAATTTTAACTAGTGCTTCTGGGGCAGGAGTTCATCCCTTCAGAATGGCCTGTCAAGGCCCATTGTACTGTCAAGTCTCATGTTAGGTTTCCATGTGGATGAACGCATAGAGTCTTTGTATTCCTTACATATCATACAGATGGATTCTAGATCGGGGTGGGCAAAATACGGCTCATGGGCTGGACCTGGCTTGCCAATTGATTTTATCTGGCCTGTGGGTGGGTGGTGGCTCTGGCCTCTACTGGTGCTGCAAGGAATGCTGAGTGGAAGCAGCCCTGCCTACACACTCAGCACCAGGCCTGCAGGGCCAGACGCCATCTCCTAGGTGCCATAGGGGAATGGAACCTGGCCATGGGTTTCTATGCTGTCTCGTCCCACCCTGCTATGATGGCACAGGTGACTGGTATGAAGGGAATGGGGGCAGGTACCCCCCCCCCCCCAAGATTAGTCCCTGGAGGTGGGGCAGTTTTTTGCCATGCGGGACACTAAGCCACGGCACAGAAGTATAGGAATGGATATGGGGCTTTTGGTCCACCCCCGGGCCCGCCCACAAATTGTGCCCCCCCCCAGGCACTTGGAGCCACAGGGTGTGTGTGTGTTGAGGGGGTGGGTACACACACTAGGAGCCCTGATGGTGCGCCAGGACAGTGCAGAGGCCCATGGCCAGGCTCCATCTCCTGTCCTCCCAGCTGTGGATGCAGCCAGCAAGTGCTAATTCTGGGTGAGGGGGGCAGGGTTAGGGGGGCTGGGGCTGCAGAGCACACATGTGTGCAGCCCTCAACAGCTCACCAAATCTTGTTAAGTGAACCTTCAGCCCAAATAAATTGCCCACCCTTCTTCTAGGCCCTCTCTAAATATATCTGCACAGAGAAAAGGGTATGGATTTAGGAGGATTCTTGGATCAATTCACAGGAAGTCCTGAAGAGCAAGGACTCAGAAATGGCACTGCAGCACTGGGTCTTGCCCACGTATAGGAAATTGTGATAGGTTTAGTCTCCTCAATCCCGCCCTTAGTTTCCTCATCATAGATTAGGCCATCCGCAATACCCACAATATGCCACCTACTCCCCTTTCCTCATAAGGAAGGAATGGATAGGCTCTTGCCTTGCCCAAGGATATCCTAGGTATAAATCAGGAGCTTCTCTGCAGTCCTCCTGCTCAGGAGCTCTTTGTTTCACAGTCTCCAGGGCCAGACTGTTTACCTCTACTCAGGCCCTGAGTTTATATACTCTCTAAGTTCTGCTCTTTTCCAATCAGGTGTTTCCCCTGGATTCCTGCCTGAGCCTTATCTTGCAGCCTTTCTCCTCTTAAAGTATCAGGAGCATTAAATTCCCTATTGCAGCAGCACTACAAAATGTAGCTCTATTCAAATTGCTGTTTCCTTCAGTAACATTTCTGTCAGCACTTCTGCCATTTTTGTAGCACTGTCAGGGGTGTGCAAGTCTGTTCCCTTGACTGTTATAGTGCTACAAAGCAGTCCAGGATCATTCTTGGGCAGCTCAGGCTTGTCCTCTGAACCATGGTTTCTCTTTCTCTTTCCTCCAGGTCAGCAACTTCTGACCTTGGCTAGTCCTAAGGTATAAACATAACTCTTTCCCCTACTATAAAAGCATGTCCCTTTCTTTCTATCTCCTGTCCCACCACATCCTAGGTAGCTCTACAAGTCCTCATATCACTCACCTAGTTTATCTGGCTTTTAAAGAGCAATGTTAACAAATTATTTTCTATAGAGGATGAAAAAATCCCCAAATGCAGAATTCCCCCTAGCAGTCTATAGAGGCAATAAACTATTTCTCCTTGCCAACCCATTATCCCAGGGTACTTCTACCATACCATTAAGGTTTAATTAACTGTTTAAGATCTGAGGAGATAATATAGCCTTTGGTACCAAAGGTGCATGCCACACCTGATGAAGTTATACAGAGACAGTTAAAACATTGACATCTGTCAGCAGTTTAATTTTAGCCAGTATTTTTGGAAGATGTTGAGCTAATTTAATAGCAGTAATTTTGAATTAACAGTAAACTGTTTTGTTTAATTTCAGAAATACTTTCACAAAGGACTTAGGAATGTTGTTCCTAGTTAAACAAAAACAAACAAACAAAAACCCCAAACCCAGAAAGCTCTTATAGTAATTGGAGGAGTTTGGCAATTAGACTGAAAATTCACACTTGTAATATAACTTTTATAAGTGACACTTAAGTTACTACAAAACTAAGCAGTGAAAAAAATATTTTCTCTATTTTCAGATTGTATATAATAGGTATTTTTCTTCCCTGTGTATAAAGTTAGTTGGCCTTGTGTGCTTTTATCTTTCATACAACAGCAAGTCTTTATAAATACTTGTTTTCAAAATTTACTAGATTTCAAGTTTAATGTTCCTTTAAGATTTTCTATAAAAGGTTATGAAAATGAAATTGATTAGCAGAACTATTTTTGTCACATGGTACTCAGTTTATAAATACTAGAATGTGTTTTTTGCAATTCCCATAGTAAACTAAAGAATAGATGAAATGTCCTTCTATTCACTTGACAGGGTCTATTCCCTGAAAAAAAATCATGAAGTGTCCAATAAACTCCTGATCTTACAATGAGCGCTATCCTTTTCATAGTGCTCTGAAAATTCATCAGTTATTGGTTAAGTCTCATACTTGGATTTTTTCATTTGACAGGAACTAGCTGCTTATGAAAATATGCCAAATGCAGTAACACTAACAGAAACAGGTACAATTTAAAAACCTTAATTTTTCAGAGTTTAAATAAAACCATTGATGCAAACCCATGTATTGTATAAAATAGGTACCTGCTGTAATATTTACAACAGTTTATGGTGAATATTGCTTTTGTAGATACTGTGGTAAAGTGGGACTATCAAACATAGTCCATGGGCCATGTCTGGTAGCTACCAGCAGGCTAGAGAAGTTGGGGGCATGGCTTAGCACAGAATTTAGAGTGACAGGAGGATGAGTGAGGGCTGTTCCTAACACAGCCCATTTGCTCTGAGGCCACTTGGCCTGTTACCATGGTCCATGGCAAGCTTGCCTGATTGACTCTGCTGCCATCCCCACTGCTGTCCTATACCTTGGATTGAATCTGCCACAGACATTATTCCAGGCCCAAGGCTGGGTCTACCACTGCTACCCCAGGACTTGGATTAGATCTGACCCACAGGAAGTCCTCCAGACCAGATCTGGCCTGTGGCATGGGGTGAGTTTGACATTGCATTGGTAAAATATTTGATAATTTTGAAAAACTCACATCTATATTATTTATTAGCCTATCACAGACACACTTTCCCACAAAAATGAACCCTCCAAAATTGGGGTGCATATCTTCAGTGGGAAAGCTGATTTTTGTTCACTGGAATACATGTACAAGTTCATGAGGCCAGATGGGATGCACCTGATGGGCTGCACTGGTACAGGTTGAGGACTGACTGGCTAAGCAGCACATCTGTAGCAAAAGACCTTGGGGTTACAGTGGACAGTGAGCTGAAAATGAGTCAACAGTGTGTCCTTGTTGCAAAGAAGGCTAATGACATACTGGGCTGCATTAGTAGGACTGTTGCCAGCAAATCAAGGGAAGTGATTCTTCCCCGCTATTTGGTACTGGCAAAGCCACATCTAGAGCACTGTGTCCAGTTTTGGGCCCCCTGCCATAGAAAGAATTTGGACAAAACAGACAGAGTCCACCAGAGTACAACAAAAATGGTTAGGGGGCTGGGGCACATGACTTATGAGGAGAGGCTGAGGGAACTGGACTTTAGTCTGGAGAAGAGAAGACTGAAAGGAGGATTTAATAGCAGCCTTCAACTACCTGCCTAGTGGTTCCAAAGAGGTTGGAGCTAGACTGTTCTCAGTGGTGGCAGATAACAGAACAAGGAGCAACGGTCTCAAGTTGCAGCAAGGGAAGTTTAGGTTAGATATTAGGAAGAACTTTCTTACTAGGAGGGTAGTAAAGCACTGGAACACGTTACCCAGAAAGGTAAAATCCAGTTAGACAAAGCCTTGGCTGGGATGATCTGGTTGGGAACAGTCCTGCTTTGAGCAGAGGGTTGGACTAGATGACCTCCTGAGGTCCATTCCAACCCTGATTTTCTGTGATTTTATGAACTGAAGCAGGGAGGAGTACAACCATGGATACGTTGTGCTCCCAATGGCTATCAGGGTGTCTGCTGCTTTGCTGTGGCCAAGGAGGTAGAAGGGCCAGATACCAGCGTTAACCCTCTCAGAGCTGCTTAGGAATTTGCTGTAGCTATTGGCTGAGCATTGTAGCTTGTGCCTAAAATCAGTGGTGCCACTGCACCTGCTGACAGGCTGCGCTCGCTGCTTAGGCCTTGGGCAGGGGGAGCAGGTGAAAGTGCTGGTGCTCCCCCTGTGAGCACTGGCTGGGGAGTGGGAGCATGCCCTCCTGACTAAGGTGGCACCAGTTGCCCACACACTAAAACAGTAATTGAGCTGGCTCAGGCAAGTGAGCTGCTACATGCAGTCTGCAGTATCCAGATGAGGCTTATGGTGTGGAAACAACACTTCATTATTTACAAGAATTTATATAAAGAATAGTTATAGTAAATACTGCTACTGCTCTTGCATGAATCTGGGGCTTAGCCTTCTTGCAGGAAGTTTCCTGCTGTCTTACCTAGACTGTTTCCTGGGATGCCACACCTCCTGGATACTCCACGTTTTCAGTAAGACTTACTTCATGTTACACAGTTGGCCATGACTGAAAAAATCTTTTCTCCTACATTCCTCCTTTCAACAACAGAGTGCATGTTTTATTTCAGGGCATATGGTACACAAGAATATATGGATATTCTAAGCTCTGTCATTTATATTTTGTTAACTTGTCATTTCACTAGTTTTGAAGTCATATGATCTGTTTCCTCCTCTGAGAACAGAGAAAAATAATGTAACAGCTTAGTGAAAAGACACATGATCCCTATTTAAAGGTGATGCACAAGAGAAAAGTATTGTTATTCTTTTCACATACTTTTGTTCTTGTAATTGGCAAAATTTTTCTTATCTGGTTCCATGCTGTACCCGTGTACCTGTTGAATGCTACCTTTAAAATGTATATAATGAAGACAAATGGAATGACATCCTCTAATTCAACATCGTTTTTTCTGACCTGACTGAAAGGAGAGACCCATTTCCTTTCCCTTCTTTACTCCAGGCTACCACTTTTTGAACAAGACATGTACTCCTATGGGAAAAAGAGATGGTGGTGTTTCTAAAAAGTTATAGTCTAGGTATTCTCAAACACAGATGATCTCATGTACTAATTTTAGTGCTGGAAGATAGCCATGAACTCAATGGCTTTCATTTTAATTTTAGATTTGCTTGAAGATGGCTTCAGAGAACATCCTTTGTATTACTGTCTAATAGCAGAGGTGCCAAAGGAGGGGCAAGCAGGAAGTAAGCTAAACATTCATGTAATGATTATCTTCAACAATTGTAGAAACAATGACATACATGCTAACATTGCAGTCTAACTCAGAAAATATCACTCCTCTTAATAGTTTGTAGTGCTAGAAAAAAAGTAAAAAGTGCTACAGGTGGTCATATGTGCCTGCTCCCTTGGCTGAAGAACACAATAGCAAATAAAGGCACACTTTCCATCCAGGGGACAACAGGGGGCTGATCCTTAGCACCCCTCCCCCTACTCTCAAGGAAGTCTGTCAGTCAGTAGACAGGTTTCCGGTCTGCTGTTGCTGTGCAAACATTTAAAGGGCAGTGGTGTTCTTTAGGCTCCCACTGACTGCCAGCCAGCCCTGTAAAGGGCAGAGAAGCAGACCAAGCCAGCCCTTCTCTCTCCTTTTCCTCATGGAAGTGGGGAGAGTGAGGACTATTGGATACTGATGGACAGGAATACCTGTCTGCATGTTAAATTTGTTGTGGAAAGCCTCCCCAAAACAAAAGTTTCTATTTTAAAAGTTTTTTTCACTTGTAAATCTACAATTTTTGGTCTGGATTGGCCATATTTTTAATGAATGTGGGGCCCACAGGCTTTTTGTGCTGCTAAAACAGATGATAAAAGTGTGACAAAAATATTTGAAAGAGCCTCTAAGTCTGTCATTTTCACCATTTCCCTTTCTCTTCATATCCCTCTAATGGCTTCCTCTTTTGTGTCACAAACTTATTGTCTTCATTTTCAAGAACCTTTATTTCCCTATGCTACCATCTCTCATTGAAAATGTTGATTCTTATATCTTCTTTTTCTACCAAGTCACATACAAGCTACTTTTCTTTACTTCTAAATTGCATCATGCCCCATTTCCAGCCTATTTATCCTGTCTCATTCAGTATCAAAAAGTTGATTCCTGCCTCCAGTCAGCCCATACTAGCACCCTCCACAGTAACTTTTCAAATAAACACCTTCAGGCCGTCTTTTATGGTGCCATTCACCTATCTCATTGTCCTCCTTTACAACTTTTCTTAAAACTCTCCTTTGCTGTACTGCCAACACAACACTTGATAATGATTGGGTTGCTAGCACACTGAGAGACATCTGCCCTCCATACTTTCTCCTTCACCTCTACATGATGTCTGTATCAGACAAGATAAAACAAATTGACATGTAGGACATGCGTACACCACAGAAACTTTCTGTGCCAGGCTATAGCAAACACATGTGCTGTACTGCTCTGCATACACTTAACTAGCCCCACTACAGTGCTACATAACACTACTGAGAGGTGCAGTATAAACAGGCCCTTAGCTTGTTAAGCTGTCCGGGACAGGGATTGTGCATTTATATAGCAGCTAGCACAATGCAGTCCTGGTCCACAACTAGAGCTCACAGGTACCATGCAATGCAAATAATAAAAATACCTTTGTAAAATGGTTTTGTCTCTACATTGTAACTTTGCACTTATAGATTCATAGATTCTAGGGTCCGAAGGGACCTCAGCGTGTCATCTAGTCCGACCCCCTGCCCCTGGCAGGCAAGAAAAGGGGTCACCAAACCTGGGGTCACGTGAACCCAGCCAGGTGCCTGTCCAGTCTCATCTTGAAGACCCCCAAGGATGGGGTGAGCACCACCTCCCTTAGAAGCCCCTTCCAGATCCTGGCAACCCTGACTGTGAAGAACTTTTTTTTAATGTTCAGTCTAAACCTTCTCTTCAGTAGCTTATGGCCATTGCATCTTAGACAGTCCTGAATTGCAGAAAGTTTAGACTCTCCAGATGTTAAAAGTTCTTTCTTTGTCAAAATATATTAGTAACTTTGAAAAATACCTGCAATTCAGATGGAATACTTTTCGATACTATCTTTTTATGTAGTACTTGTTACTGCAAAATCTATGTTTGTTGCATTTTATAATTCAGTAGACTCCAATCTTCAATGAGAGAGACCTGAGTTTATAATAACAAGCATTCAGGGCTGTCCAATTTCTGGGAGAGGGACTGCATATGTACAACTCCCTTTTGAATGCGCATACACATTGTGGGCAACCTGGCTCCTCTCTTGACACAGAGCAGCATCCTCCCACTACCCCACCCCCAGGAGTGCAGGAACTAGAAGCCAGACGAAGGAGAGAGAAACTTAGGACCCCAGCTGCGGCAGCAACAGGTGCCATGTGGGGGGGCAGTCCAGAGACCACATGTTAACTCCTTGTAGGCTGCTGGTTGGACAGCCCTAATTTAGAAAGCTAAAGGGAATCTATTAAAAGAGCCATATTGGATATTAGCTTTTACATAAACGAGCCAGTTATCCCAAACTTCATTTTTTTTCCTTTCCGCCTCCCCTGCAGGTAGTTACGCTGTAGGCTATGCTATGTATTACTTTACATATGACCCTTGGATTGGCAAGTTACTTTACCTGGAAGACTTCTATATTATGGAGACTTATAGAGGTAAAAATCACAATAGTTCTAATCTTCCTCTTAATATTAATTAACCAATTTAATTTTTTACCATTTACCAACTTTCAGCGCTCTCTCTCTCTCTAATACTTTGAGCTACGCAATTCTGGAAAGAAAAATCCTGAAAGTTTAGATGAATCTCTTTCCAAACATTAAAAATAGTCTCTTTCAAAGCAGAATATACTTGACTACAAATTACTAACACAGGCTGTCCGTTATTTTCAAAGCTTTTCTCAGAATGTAAGTCACAGGAGGTCTGTTAGTTTATATGTGAACTTAAAATTATTTTTCAATGAAGTCAATGTGATTTACCTTCTGATAAAAAAAAATATTAAAAAGTTAGCTTTTAAATGTAATTAATTAAAAGATCCAGAACTTGACCTGTAATAGGACATGATAGATATCATATGAAGTTTTTATTTTTTTCTTACTTACTCCTTTATTTTAAAGTGCTTTAGGACAAAACAATATCATATTCCAATATTTGTAGAAAAAAATTAAACCAAAATCCATAATGGCATATAATGGAAACAATTAATCTTAAATAAAAATATACTCTATGTAGTGGTTTAAAGAGATCATTATATCTTTCTAACTTAACATTACTTTCTTATACAAGCTTAACTGCATGCACAGAATAGTTCAAAACAACTCACATAAACATTAATGTATATTCTTTCTAAAACAGACTTCAGTGAAGTGCTATATTAACTTTACTAATATAGAATAAAGTTATGTAACAAAATATTTTTCTTGATTTTTCTAATAGAAATTAAAGCTGAATTACTATGAAACTTCTATTAAATATGTTCAATGTATTAAAAATGTTCCACTACACATTCTTAAAATTACATCCTGCAGTGCAACTTTTGCTATACTGATACTTCAATTCTTGCATTATTTAACAGGTTTGGGCATCGGATCTGAAATCTTAAAGAGATTAAGCCAGGCATGTATTATTTAAGACAAAGACTTACAAGTTCCACACAATTTAAAGTCATTTTCCTCATTTTATTATGGCAGAATGTAAGATTTTTATCTGTGCATTCAGTTTACAGAACCCACATTAAGGATTAACATGACAAACATGGAGAATGTAGATTTTATAAAGTTATGTTTTTCCTAGGGTCCCAGGGCCAGAGCTGCCGCTGCTACCATCTGGCTGGGTGGGGGAAAGAGCCACCATGTGCTCTGTACCCTGGGCCAGAGCTGAAGCAGCAACTGAGGGCAAGTGGCAGCAGGGGCGGCAAGTGGCAGTGTGGGGCAAGTGCTAGGGGCACAAGAATTTCATGGCGGGGAGGGACACAGACAGCAGGGTAATAGTAGAAGGGACAAATTTAAGATGACAGTAATTAAATTCTATACATAAAAAATAACAACACATTTATACATTTTCCATGTATAGAATCTAATGGGGGGGGAGGAGAGGGGGTGGAAATCATCTTAAATTTTGAAGTCACCTTGGATTTAGGTAAATATAATAATATGTTGGCCAGGACACATGCTTGGTCTAAACTCCTATACAAAACAGCCTCTCTCAGCCATTATGCGATAATAGCAGCTGTGAATCAGCACCAGAGTTTGTACTGAAGATGCCACTCCTCATGAAGGTGTATCTAGTTCTTCCAAACCTGTTTACTTGTTTCACACAATTCTGCAGAATTGGACCCAAAGACTAGGTTTTCATACTGCCCTTTTCTTTTGCTCGGTAACTAAGAGTTGTTTAATCCAGCACCCTATTGACTCATTGGTCCTGTGAATACAATGATGGCAGTAAAAGATAAGGTGTCCTCAAGTACAATTAAGTCTCAAACTGTTGCTGGTTTCTTGAGTGTTTACTGATCCATGTGAGAAGACGGACTAATTTGTTAGAAAAAATGAACTGTTTCAGCATCTACTGTGCGTACAATAGTCTCTTACATGGTACCAATGGCTCTCCCTACACAGACCATTTTCTCTATATGCAGAATAGTATCCCAACTAATATGGAAAATGAGTTCCAAAATAGTGCCTTGCAAGTAATGCAGAATGTTTACTTTTAACAGATAGCCATTGAGACCAACTGTAGCCGCATGCATTTCCTTGTAGTCATCTGGAACAAGCCATCTATCGAGTACTATGTGAGACGTGGAGCTTCAGATCTTTCTACTGAAGAGGGATGGCATCTTTTCAAATTTGACAAAGAGACTCTTCTCAGAATGGCAATTGAATAACAATGAAGATTCACACTCACCATTCCAAGATGTGTGAAAAATCAGATTAATCTGATCTGACCAACTTTCCTTTTAGCAAAATACAACATCTTCCATTTATACCCAGTAATTCTAACTTGTCTTGTGCATTTAAAAAGGATTAATCAAGTTTAAGTATCTTCTCTACATCATAAGCAGCATTCCTTGCCATTACTGTTAGGCACCACTAAAAGTTTCTGTCATGATTTCTCCTAGAAAAATAGATACTACTGAGACTGGCTCATCTTTAATTTTGTTCCACCTCTCTATCTGCACCAAACAGATACATTACAAAAGTGTTACTGTACTGTGTGGACTATCCTGCATGCCTATTTATATTTAAAGTAAACATGCATATTACCAAAATAACTCTTACTTTACCTATCATTTTTCATGCTTTAATAATATTAGATTGCTCCTTCAACCACCTCTCTCAACCCAAATTTCTGAAGCCTATCTACGGCAGCCTGCAGATTCTCTGTTGCCCCTTTCTGACTGAGCTGTAGTCTTTTATCACACCTGTTTCAAACTGGCAGCTTGGCTACAACGGGCAACTTAATTAGGCCCCTCATTCAGTTGTTGCTGCATAGGGTATATATGCCCCGGTACAGATGTCCACCCACCCAGAAACATCTTCTGGGAAAACAACATCATGACATCCCATCCCCGGGAAAAAGTAAAAAATTCTTGTGGAAGTTCCTTATTCAGTGTTCTATTAACAAGGTATAGGCTGACATACAACCTCATAAGCCATACATTGATTTTTTTTCTCTCGTCATTTCATGAGATATCTTAGAGGATTCTGAAGCAATTACCTAGAAGATAGTCCAATGTATTTCTTGGATACTATTTGACTACTAGAAATCCTTTTTATATTATAACACATCACTTTTCTCTTGGGAACAATGTGCTTAAGAAACAGCAAAGTTGTATATTATGTTCGGGCACACTCTCTCCTTTGTGTCCTTCCCTGCCTTGGGCAGTAGCAAACTACTTTCTCAGTGTGTGGAGGTCAGGTTGGGTGTTGACTAGAAAAACCTTCCTCAGGTCAGAAGTTGAAGGGTAATAAATGTGGGGAGGTACTCAATGGATTCCAGGGAGATCTGCAACATTTCTTGGGAAACAACGTGGGTCAACCTCTGTTGTGTCCCTCTTGTTTCCCCATGGGCTTCCTCTGTATCTCTTGCAAAGGATCTCTCTTCTCAATGGTGCTGGGTAACCCCATAGTTGAATCCGTTTTCTGATAAGCTGACTGTTATTCCATTATCTTTGTATCGACTCACTCACTACTAGAACCTAGGGGAATCGATGCAAAATCACCCATGCTCTTACTTAAGAAGTTGACAAGGACTCAGGATTCACCAACTACTGCCCAACATCTTTTAAGGCAGGTTTATACTGGAAACTTACCAGGCCAGGGCAGCAGCACCACCTTCAAACATGCTCTGTTCCACATGGGCTGCCTCCTATAACTAGAAGCAGTACAGATACTTTTGTATTAGTATTTCAGCTGCACTAATTAGTCCAACACAGTGGGCAAGTGCTGCCATATGACTACAGAGCTAGAAACAAGGTGAGAAAAACAAAAGATAAAAGAAGATTTCTTGCCATCTTTAAACAACTGGCCAGAGGGAAAATGGAAATATATTTCCATTTTGAAATATTCCCTGAAAGGGTGATTTATGATTATTAAGAACTTGGCACTAACAATCCTGATACACTCTACTGAAAGCATATATTGAGAAAAAGCTAATTCTCGGTATCACAAAGCTAATTATAATTCAAAATAATTAACATAAAACTGAATTCTTTGTTAACTTCTTATAGGTAGTAAGAAACAAAATGTGCCACAGACAAGGACAAAACTGTACACATTGAGATTTTAGAAAATACCTGATTAAATTATGCTACACACAGTACCAATCATACAATCATTAATCCTTCCATTTTAATTTGACATCTTTAGGAGTTTCCATAGACCTGCAAATAGCCACCTTAGCTTCTAGTACTATACATATCCACATCTTCTGGGTTGGACTGACCATGATCCATAAGCCTTGGGTCAGGTTTAAATTTCGTTGTCTTCACTACATCTGTTAAAAGATATTAAAATAGAAAGCTGTGATGATTTTTATACATATGGCTAGTGTTCTACAGATATAATTTCTTCAGAGTTACATTGGAATAGAACAAGCACATTTTTCAAGAATCAGATAAGAATGAGTACTTTATTTAGCCTAACTTATTTAGAATGATGTAAATCATCTGGCTCCATTAGGCACATGACATGAAACTACTCCTATAGGAAGATAAGGAACAAATAGGAAAATCTTTAAGTTTTACATGTATAGATATTTAACATGAAAGGAAAGATGTATAGACTGAAAAGAATTAAAAAGAACTGTAAAAAGTGATTAAAAGGCTCCACAAAAAAAATTAAAAAATAAAGTACAAAGAGGAAGAGGTAGGATGTGTTTGAGAAAGAAAACTAAAACTAAAAATATCAAGGGAAAGAAACAAACAAAAACCCAAATAACCCCTTTATTTTACAAAAAAGGAAGAGGTAAAGGCTAGAATAAAGGATAAGAGGATACACAATGAAATATCTTAGCTAAAAATAATGTTAACTGACTCCCCATTTATTTGATCTTGCTATAACACAGGGTTCAGCAGTGTTTTTGGGCAGAGTGCCGAAAACACCTGCAACCTTGATTTGTAAGATGTTGGTGTGCCAGGGGTGGGGGAGCCACAAAGGGCTTGATCCTTGTTGTGACAGCAGAGCCCTGGCCCTTTCCCTAACGTCCACTTGAGGCTCACATGCCAAAAAAAATGTCTTTGTATGCTATGTTCTGGCACCTGTGCCAGGGGTTTCCCACCTCTGCTATAACACTCTCAAACAAAAATTCAAGTTATCAAGTGATAGGGAAAAGCTCAGGTTTATTAGCTAAGGCCATCATTACTTTTCTTGATTACTGTATAAGGATTACTGCCTACAGAAGGATGGGAATTTTGCTGCAACATCATTATATGGAGAAATGAGCATATGCCAAGGATATTCACTGTTAGCATGCAACGCAATGAATTCCTTATTGATATTTTAAGACTGATGAACAGCATCACAGTAAAGTTATAGTGAATATAAAATAAAATGCTTGGCATATAAATTATGCCTACTTATTAATGGCTAAGCATAAAATAAAGTAAAATAAATAAAAGAGTAAATAAAATAATAAATCACAATTTACTGAGATTGGTGGTTATTTGAACTTCATACCTGAGACTGCATTTGGAATTTTTATTTCTGCTGACACAGATGTTGCATTTTGGGGGCTCTGAATCTTCATGGCAGCAAATTCTGTTATAGGAGGTAGTTTTACTGTCACCTGAGATTCAGGGGTTGTTTTATGAACCTCTGCACTTTTACTACCTCCTTCTACAAGTGGTTCCAGCACTTGAAGATGCGAACTAAGCTAAATAATGAACATACCAAACAAAAAGAACACAACATATTTGTGAATGCATATACTTATATATTATATTTGTATAACTCTCGTGTATTTTATGTAGAAGAACCTTTATCTTCTTATGTATTTTCATTTATCTTTTAATAAATTATTTCCAAGGATGCATTATTTTTATACAGTGTTTTGAACTGGATACACAGAAATACGCAGAAGAAATTTCTTAAGAGTGTCTTAGTACACTTTTTATGAGATATTCCCTAACAATGTTAAGTGTTATCCATTCATCAAATCAGCACCACAACAGGGATTCAAAAAAATCACTTCTACAAATAGGTCTGAGAGGCAGTTAGCTTTGTTGATTTGAATTTAGGCAGAAGGCAGGGAAGTGTGGCACCTTACAGACTAATTTGTTCAGAGAGGCATAAAGCTTTTGTAAGGTACAGCCTACTTGACCTGTGAAAGCTCACACCTCTCTAAATAAGTTAGTTTATAAGACACGACAGTGCCCTACCTTCCAAAATAGTTAAGAACTTCAAATTCACATGTGAAAATATAAGCTTATTTGGTAGATAGTGAATAATAATGGCTGTTTGCAGACATTAAAAAACAAACAAACAAAAAACAAACAAATTGTGCTTTACCAGAAGCACGCACACAACTTCAACCCAGCTCCGCACTGTCTATATAGATCGGGCACTTCAGTGGGGATTTTTGGCACTTTTATCTAAAGCTGAGTCAATCATCTATTAGAAAAAAGCATCAAAAAATGCCCCGCTAAAATGTCTGATCCATACAGATGCTGGGAGAGCTTGTCCAATTAACATGCTGTCTCTTCTGGGCATATGCTGCACTGAGTTTAAAATAAAGTGCCATTTTGTTTTGTTTGTTTAACATCTGCAAGCAGCCCATATTTAGGTTTTATCTTATGTTTTTAACCCAGGACTCTGAAAATGCTTTTAGTAAGAAGGGTACAGGCTGTTATTTCCATTTTACAGATGGAAATTGAGGTGCTGAACAAAGTTAAGGTAACTGGAAGTTTTAAATATTAGAAGAGGTAAAATTTGAATCATTAGTACCTATCTTACCAGAAGACTATAAGCCTACAGATTAGTCTTGATTAATGATAAATGACACTTTAGTAGAGATGCACTGATATATCAGTTGCCTAGCTGATCGGCACCAATAAAAGGGAAATTTATACTATTGGCTACCAGCTTTTTTTGGCCGTTGTAGCTGATAATGTTCTCCAATACTTATGCCTTCTGGCCGGGGCACCCTCTCGTGAATCGGGGTGACTCCAGATACAACCCCATCCTCTCCCTGGTGGCCTGGGCTGGATTGGAGTGGTGCAGCTGCCCCGGTGTCCTGGGTGTTAGCGCAACGTGGTGAGGACTGCAGGCTGGTGCCTGGGCTAGTGCTGTAAGAGATGCCGAAGGATGCAGACATGACTGGGGTGGGGAGCGAGGGGCAGGCAGAGCTGAACTGAACTATCTGGCCTGGCTCAGCGTGACTCAACCTCCAGTACCAAGGGGTCTGCACCCCAGGGTACAGTGCCACCGATAAAGTGCCACCATGTTTCCTGTATCAGCATCCTCACATTTAGAAATGGTGCTAAATATACTAAGTATCAGTTATTGGATCAGTATCAGCAGATATGGCTGGTTAATAATTGACTATTGGTACCCCTACAGTTTAATTTAGTTAGAAAATACTATACTAAAAAAACAGTTGATATTGTAATCATTTGCGATGCGTAGGGAGTGCACGCAGGTGCATGTGAATCCCCTGAGCTTAGCAGTGCACTCCCTGCAAAAAGTGCTACTGATGCTGCCGCCACTCACCACCCCTCTTCCCCCTGCCAACACCGCTGGCAGCATCTGTGGGCGGTCCCTGATCGCCACTGGCCACTCACCATCCCCCCACACCCTCCACCAGTGCCACAGCCGCCTGTGGGAGCTTGCCGCTTGCCACCTGAGGGAGCTTGCCATGCACCCTCCAGGCTCCAGGGGCACGCGGCGTTCGTGATTGTAATTCTTGTTACCACATCAGTCATCATTTCCCAATTGTTTGACAATCCTAAAATCAAAGAAAAGTAGGGCTGGAAGGGACCTCAGGAAGTTGTCTAGGCCAGTGTATATTCAAATGAAATGCATTCCTCACAGTATGTTCTGCTCATAATCCTCATTATTAATACAACTGGTGAATAATGAAAAGGAAAATCTGTAATACATTTTGTAGGGCTAGAACAAGAAGCCTTGCTTTTATTACAGCCAGACAGGAATTATCCATTTACATTATTTTGACAACAAAAGCAGGTTATACAAAACCTTTTTTTTTGTTTGCATCAGAAAATTAAGATTTTGCCAAAGCTCTTTAAAAATTATTTTTTATTGAAATAAATGAAGTATTTTGTTTCAGGCTGGTTCAGCCCAAATTGAAATAGTTCAGTTTGTTGAACTGACCTGAAAGTTTTCATTCCAAACTAATTCAGTGTTAAAAATTATGGTGCTTCATAGCATTATGGAAGTTGTATTTTGGGTATCTTAAAATCCATATCCCCTCCTAGGGACTGGGCTATATCTCCTATGCTGTACTATATCTCCTATGATACACCATTCGTTTCAGAGGGGCATTCTATCATGTCAATGTAAATAAAAAGTTGAGAAAAGAAAGAAAATAGAGGCAGGAGCCACTCGAGGTAGAAAATGCTGTATAATGGGAAGGGCAGTTTAATCCTGAATTCATTTGAAATCTTACATGCCAATTGACAAATCAGACGTATATCAAAATGTTTTAATCCTATGAAAAAAGGCAAAGTGAAATGTTTGCCGTTTCTGAATTTTTTTTGGAGGAGGGAGAGAACATCGTGAGAAAAAAATTCCATTATTTTAACTTTTTCTTCTGCTTCATGATGAAAGGAAAATTGAAATGTCAAACTTTCTCCTGGAAATTCCCAGTTTTGGTCAGCTCTAATTATTACTGTTATTCAGAAATACAGACATAGTCTCAGAAGATTTTTTAAACTGTGTATCAACATTCAACACAATGCTCCTTTCTAAATCTCAGTAAGCCAAATTCACTAAAATGTGGAAATATTTGAACCAATGGAAAAAAAATTTTTTTATTTGCTGGATGAAAAGTCCTCCCAGCTCCAACTTTTTCAAACTAAGGTATTCTACAACTGGCCTTAATACACCTCTTTTATTGAAGTTGCCAGCAGATAGTAATCTGTGATAAGAGGTAAAGGTGACTGTCACCATTTGTGGGGGATATATTCTCATATCCCCCATGAATGGCGAAATGCGCGAATAAGGCTCTGCGTTCATGAACACAGTCTGCGTTCATGAATGCAGTGCTCCCAGTGGATGGGGGGGAGGGGGCACAGCTCCAGCGGCAACAGCAGCAGCAGCAGGACCCCGGCAGCAGCAAGCACAGAGCTCCTGAGCTGCTCCTGGAAGTCTATAACGTTTATTTAAAATTCACATTTGGCATTCGCGAATATTTGAAACTGCAAATGCTGAACCTGTGAATAACAAGGGTTTCCTGTACTACATTTTTTACCAAATGGCATTCCTGTTTGCAACATCAGAGGTGTAAAGAACTTATGCCCTGATCCTACAAATACTTATGCAAGTTAAGAAGGTTAATTCTGACCAGATATTTAAAATTAGATTTTGTATAGTAAAAAGACACAAGTGAAGAATGGATTGGGGAACAAACTGAATATTTAGAATTTCTAAAGTTAAAGAATATTTAGGTAAGTTACATAAGTCAGCATGGCATGATGCTGCCAAGGAGACCTTCAAGAATATCTGGCAGTGAAGGCAGCAAGGGAACAAAGAAGAACTGGATGCTCACGAATGTAGAAGCTCTCAGCTGGTTACCTCTGGTTCAGAAGCGGGGCAGTGCCCCACTTCCGAATCCCCAACCATCAAGGTGAAGAACTGGTACAAACCCCTGGCATCAGAGAAGGAGCCTACTTCATTGGTGAAAGAAGAAAACCATGTACCCTAACAGCTGGGAAGAACAAATCCATGACATCCAGAAGGAAGCAAAGGGTGATGGTTGTTAGCAATTTCCTTCTATGGATGATGGCTGCTGCAGTGCAACAAGACCTAGGGGCTGAAAACCCCTGCCCTGGGGATGAAGGGGTGGTAGAAGGATGCCAGAGGTGCTGGTAAGTGGCCCGGTGAGGGCTGGAACCAGAGGGAATTTACCTGCTACAGGTGCAATAGATGAAGACATGGAGCAGTGGTTGACACTGTCAGTGTGGTTTTTAATCATGTTGTCAGTGCAGCTGGGGCAGCGCAGAGACATGATGTTATACGCCCGTGCCAGAGACTGACAACAAGAGCCAGCACAGAATGGCAAAAGGGGGAGTGAGAGCAGCATCATGGCAGCTGCAAGCTCTGGGGCAGCACTACCAAGCAAGCACATGTCACACTGATTCCGGTTCCACAGAGGGGTATCTCCCCCTATCCTAAGACCAATGCCATCCTAGAGAAGGAACGGCCTAGGATCTGAAGGCCCAGCTACCAAAGGGGACGCATGGGTAAGGACGAGCACTGCAGCCTCCCTGTTTGTGTTTTAATTTTACGCTTGTTTTTCTTTTCACCGTTTTCCGCACATTATCTCTGCCAGTTGAGCACTGCAGGGCTGAGGAGACCGAGAGCTCCTAGAGGGCCTGGGTGGATGACAGGATCTGCAATGAATTTAACTGATGGTCCAATCTGATTATGAAGCCCCAATGGAACAGACTGTAATCTAAAGACTGAGACAGCCTATGAATAGAACTTAAGTTTCCACTTACCGTTTTTGTTCACTGACTGGAGTCAAGAAGTAACCCTGGCTACTTCTCAGTAGCCCTGGAGCTGTTCAGTGATAGCAAACCAGCTCCCTCTCAAGAAAGTAGTCAATAGGACAGGGGTCACCAGGCTGGTCCAGCCAGACAAAAGTCCAGGCAGTGAATACCATTCCACAAGACACTTTTAGGTTGGCATGTGGATGGGGTATAGGGGAGGAGGAGCCCCAAGAAACATCTGTACAGAGTGCACCTAAGGGTGGTCCATACCATATGAAAAAGCCTCCCTTACCTTTTTAAGACCAAGGTGTGGCAGGGAAGGAAGGGAAGACTCCCTTAGGGGGCTCAACCGATCAAAGTATCAAAAACCACAAGGGCCCAAATTTGGGTTGCCAGGTCCCGAGTTGCTTGGACGTGGCTGATTTGGCAAAGATGGGCACAGTGGCATTCACCTGTTGACTGCCTATCATCTTAAGAGATCTGGTGCCTACCAGGAGCCTGAATACAAGATGTTATGCAAAGGTTGCTGAGATGGATGCACTAAGGATATAGCCAGGTGTGACCCTGCACAGATCAGAAGTGACTACTGAGCCATGGCCATGAGGGAAGAGAAGACAGGTGCTCAAGCTGTGTTCTCATCACCCTTCTAGTCAAGGTAAAGGTCTAGGCAGGTGTAGTCGCATTTTGAAAATAACATGGCTGAGCAGATAGTTTCTCTCAAATAGCTTTTACTTTCTTGACCATGGGGTGGTATTACAAGAAAAGGCATTCTAGGAAGAGATGGTATCCATCTAATGAAGTGGGGTGAAAGTATCTTGTCACATAAGCTCACTAACATAGCGAGCATGATTTTAAACTAGGTTCAACAGGAAATGGAGACAAAAGCACGGTAAGTAAAAAGCAGGGTGACTTGGATTAAGATCAAAGAACAGTTAGTAATAAGAGGAATCTTAAAGTTGTAAGAAGTGAATTGGCAGGGCAATTAGCTAGTTATTCAAGATTTTTATATACTAATGCAAGAAGGACAGGGAATAAGCAAGATGACTTAATCCAAGCACAAAACTGTAACCAACCAACCAATGTGTTAAGATAACTGAGACTTGGTCAGATAGTTAACAAAACTGGAAAGTTGTCATGGATGAGTACACTTTGTTCAGAAAGGACAGATGGGGGGAGAAGACAGACCTTCTTAACATATTAAATAAACTCTTGGGCACAAACACAAAGTGCCTTTTTTAAGTCTAGGAAAGAAAACACAGAGTAATTAAATACTTGATAAAACAAAGGCTTTTGCTGAACTCCATTACCTAAATGAAAATAAATCACCCAAAGAATCAGATGAGGGCTATACAACTGAGAAGACGAGGCTATCAGAAGTAGCTCCAAAAAGTACTAAAGGGCAGTTGAAACTGATAATCTCATTATGAAACAAATGAAATAATCTAAGTAGAAACATAGGCTATCAACTACAAAACGTGATTTATGAGAAAAGATTAGAAAAACTGGGATTATTTAAGAAGGAGAAGAGAAAACTAAAATAAAGAGAAGGGAGGATTTGATACTAGTCTATAAGGGTGTGTCTACATGTCGCCTTGTGGCAACATAGCGATCTGCTACATTGCTGTATGGTGCACTATGATGACATGCTCACCAGCTACATCACTGTAGTGGTGCACTTCCTGGGTATAGTATGCTATAGTACGCTACAGCGATGTAGCAGCGAAATCTACTCATGTGCCACACACATGGTGAAGTAACCACTGCACATGTAGCGAAGTAACCACCTGTACTTTAGTACTAAAAGGAAATACTAAAGCATGGCGCTGTAGCAACATCATCATGTGGTGATGTGTAGAAGCACCCTAAGAGTAGTTAAACAGTCCCACTAGAGGCTACCTAGAGAGGCCGTGAAATCTTTATCATTGGAAGGTATTAAGTATAGGTTAGGCAAATACTTAGGGATAAGATCCTGTTTTGAGAAGCAGACTGGACTACATAAATTCCTGAAGTCCTTTCTGGCCCTCTTTTATTTTGATTCTATCAACAAACATAATTATATTATATTATCAAATATGTTATATTTTTGCTTAAAGCTGCACTTTGAAAAAAAAAAAATACAGCAAGCCAGTCCTTGGAAAAGCCTACCTTTGTGCCTTCTTCTTTGACAGAAGAGCTTTTTGTCCACAATGATTTTATTGTTTCATACGTTTGATGGCTTGCAGAATATACATTTTTCCCTGTTACCTAATTTAATTAAAGAAAATGTGTTATTTCAAAGGAAGTTTTAAGGACTTTAGGGTTTTTGAACATTTCATGTAAAGCAAATTTGTTCCTGTAATAAACTATTATTATCCAGTACTAGATAAAACAACATTTCAGTAATCTGCCTTTCAAAAATCTGATGCTACCTAGAATTATTTCCCCCAGTTCTTAGGTTATAAATCAGATTTAATTAGTTATGGTAAATCTGAAGGCAATGTTCCTTTTTTTATCACCATGCATCCTTTTACATGAAACAGAATTGAAACCTGATCAGGGAATACTGATTTGAATAAATGTATACAACTGGCTAGATGAGCATCAGTCTAACACATGCCACAAACCTGACAGACCAAAATTTGGCTTACTTTATATCTGGTATCATTCATACAAGGAAAATGGCAGCTAAATTTAAACACAGGTAAAGCAAACCCACAAAGAAGAAAGGGAAAACAAAGAAATAAAAAAGACCTGACTGATATTAGTGAACTCTACAAAAGCTCACTTTTGTTTCACTTTACAAAAGTCTGTCCTGAAGTCATTACTCAGCTTATAACCAGGAAAATACATTAAACTGCAGTAACATCTCTGTAATGGCTCTACTGATGCTCTGCATCCAAGGGGGATGCTATTTACTCAGACAAAAATTTTTGCATACACTGTGTAAAAATTTCTGTACTTAGATTTTGCACAGGGATTAATGGTTTGGTTTAATGAGAAATCTTGAGTCAAGGCCACAGTGTATTGTCATTGTGGTTCTCCAATTCGTTTGAACTGAAATTTGGATTTTCATGATCATGAGCTGCCCAAGCTCCATTGATAATTACAGCAAACGTTACATGAAAGGCTGAAACTTCTAGTTTTCAAGACAGAACACAGTCAGATGCAAACAAATAATATTTACAAAAGAAAGAATAACAGAACGAGCAAATGAATGACAGAACGAACAAACATTTAGGTGATTAACACAGACAAGACAACAATGACAGTATTCTAACCAGACAGCCAAATTACTGCAAGATGGTAGTAAAAAAAGACAAAGACGGTGATTTCCTGCTAAAAGACTGGGTGCGTTTTACAGTTAAGCTTAGGAAACTTCAGCTGTAGATTAATTGGATTGTCCTGTATTACGTTAATGTGTTGAAACAGCTGTCAGAAAATGTGATTTTTTTTTTAATTGGAAATTTAATTGTACCACATTTTAATTGAAACTGGTTCCTCCACATAAGAATTAAATACATGAAACAGCACCACATTCAAATAAATTCAGTTATTTTATTCACTTTTAATGGACATGTAGTTAACAACCGACATATCACAAACACAATTTTTAATAAACTAGTGTCATTGCATTTGGATGCCAACTCTATATCCCAGGAAACTGAAGTCTGGTAAGATTTCAGTCTCATTTTAATTTTTAAATATCAATACTTTCACACTGTATGAAATCTTACCTTAGTAATTTTTACCGACTGAGCTGGGTAACAAACTGATATGCCTAAAGTGGCAAGTCCTAATGGATAAACAATTTTCTTAAATCTAGAACCTGCATAAGCCAAAAAAAACAACCCAGATATTAGATACAAATGAAACACAGCTGTCCAGTACTATGTCCTTTTAGAGATTTATCTTGGCAATTATTCAGAACAAATGTATTCCCCAGTTTGACTCGAAGACTTAGAGGTTCTACATTCTAACAAAAACAGGCCAAAATGTGGTATTTTCTGTTTGCAAGAAGGATAAATATACTGAAATTTGGTTTTGGTCCACTTCAAATGAAATCAAAATGTTCTTAAGTCATGAAAAGGAAATTTAGAAATGTTGTTTAAGAAACAGACACTGACAAACAATGAGAATTTGGTGCATTTACATGTGCATATTAATACAATGCAATAAACTCTGGTCCTTATCGCACCAGTTTATTCTTCCCAGGCATTCGCTTACATGTGGACCCGGGATCGCAGCACAATGAGCCAGGCTGGAGCACCCCGGCTTGCAAGTGGTCCAGGGGGTCAGCCTGTCAGCCCACGGCTGCTCCCACTGACTCAATGTACTACAGCAGGAATGGCTGGGGCAAGAGAATGCTTCAGTGTGGGGCTAGCCAACAGGCACTATATCTTTAATTATGAATTATCCTTTAATTTTCTTTATACAATTAAAATTATTCCTTTGAAAGAACAGCAATGTTTACTATCTTCCTTAATAGGCTTTTTCACAAAATTCCAAATACAATCTCTTTTCCAGCTTTTATCTAATATTTAGTTACATGCTGAAAAAAAGATCTAGTCATATGGAAACACACAAAGTTCTCTTTAAAAAAAATGGACTGGGATTTATCTGCATCATATTCAACTAGTGATAGGTATCTTATTATCTGTTAGGCAAATATCACTTTAAGCAGCTTGTCTGGTTCTGAAGTAAAGTGCATTGGTCTGAGATTCACCATTAGCATGTCTTCCAAAAAAAAAAAAAAAGAAACATATTTCCTATCTTTCCATCTTTCCTTTCTGTCCTCTTTTAATCCTTCTGGGTACTGTAACTTTTTTTAAGGAGAGGCAGCATACTTTTAATAGCAGCAAACAATTTAATTTCCATAACCTTTTGATATACATCAGTGTTTTTCAACCTGGATGATGTTGTATCCTGGCAGCAAGACCATCTGGGGTGCCGTGACAGGTGCTGCTACCGCAGCAGTGGAAACCAAATAAAACTCCTTTTTGCACAGGGCTCCAGCATGCACAGGGTTCTTTGATAACCTTAAAACAGAGGCGGGCAAAATATGGCCCGTGGGCAACATCCGGCCCGCCAGGCCATTCTATCTGGCCTGTGGGGCACCTACAAAGTTTAGAAAATTAATATTTATCTGCTCAGGGCTCCCTGTCAAAGCTGACAGGAGCCAGGGGCAGTAAGACCCAGGAAGAGCTGGCAGGAGTCAGAAAAAAGGCAAACCCGGCCCCACCCTCAGCCCCCTCCCACTCATGTCCCCCACCTGGAAGTGTCTGCCTGCAGCAGCTTTCCCTGCACACAGCTGCTTCAGCACCATGTGGCCCCCAGCTGCATCACTGGACTACAGGAGCAGGGGTGCGATGATACCCAGGGCCAGGAGGGGGTGTGTGTATGTGTGCCCACGCAGTGAGGAAGGGAAAGAGAGACAGCAATGAGGCAAGCACACAGTGCATGTGTACGTGTAGTGAGGCAAGCACAGTGTGTGTTTGTAGGGTGAGTCCTACAAGCACCCCCCCACCATACACATGCACCCACAACCCCCTCACTGACATACATGCAGACACCCACACCCCCTCACACAGCACAGCCACCCTACCCCACACACATACCCCCACAAACCCCATACCCACCCACATGCAATATATTCTCACATGCCCACATGCTCTCTCACCCCTCCACACCTATCCACCCCCGCCACACATCCACACCCTCCCTTATGTACACACCCACAGCCCCCCACAAACCTATACCCAACCCGCCATGTCTCCCACAGTTAACAAGAGTAAGAGCAAGGTGTGTGATCACCTCTATGTACACTAAGCAGACACATGTAAACCAGGACAAAAAGATTTTTTGAAATCAAATTAATGAATGTTGTAGATGTTTGATTTTTAGAATATAATTTGGTATTTTTCTGGGTCTGAGATGGCAAAACCCCTTGCTGAAAGGCGTACTTCCAGAGGCAAGGGAAGGGACTTCTGGTGGCAAAGGTCAGGGGTTAGAGGGTGGGATTTCCAGGCCCAAGATGGCAACCAGGGGGGTGGGCACCTGTAAAGGGGTGGGGCTACCCATGCAGCCCTTGACAGCTTGCCAAAACTCGGTCAGCAGCCCTCCACCCAAAATAATTGCCAGCCCCTGCCTTAAAAGCATGCAGGAGAGCTGGCTTGTGTGGCAGCTCTTCCTGGTTGGCCCCCTGCCCCACCAAGCTCCTCCTAGAAACAGAGGCATGCTAGACAGTTCCCCCTGTGTGCCTCTGTTTCTGGAAGAGGTGTACACTGTCAGACTGGGGAGGGCTGCTGCTTGAGCTAGCTCTCCTGCCTCCTTTAGGTTTATCAGATAACCCTAATGAGGCAGGAGAACATGCACATGTCATAGCCCTTCCTGGTCTGGCTGGGCAGCAGGCATGTCAGACAATTTTTCCTGGCAGCACCCAGTTAAGAATCACTGAGGTAAACTGAGGCAGCGCCAACAGTGGTTCTCAACCAGGGATACTACTATATTCAAAAGGCTGGAAACCTCTGACTCTGAAAAGGTCGATATCCACATTTTAGTACAAGTTACTTGCTATTCTTTTGGTTCTAAGTCACAAAAGCTGTTTCATTTGGACAAGAGACTAATTTAACTTGCTTTTTTTTTGACCTTTCAAGCTAAAACTGTTTCACCTTTATACCTACCAATTTTGATTCTATCATGTTTTAACAACATTTGGTATAACAAAGTCATCTTCCAGTGTCAGTTACTCTGTTGTGCCTGTTTTCTTGTTATGTTTTTGTTTTAACTTTTAATCACTGATTCCATTTTAGAGCCCTTCTGGCTAGACAATCTTTTCTTCTTTAAGTTCTAAAGTGATAAAATATTTAAGCCCCTTGACTTTAGTATGCTCTTCTATATGAAAATTGAGAAATTTAATTCTGAATGGCTTAAAACTAAAGGAAGAAAAATAATTCGCAAAATGTGATATGCTAATTATGCCCAGTATTTTTTTTTTCAGTTTGTCAGTGACTTTACAAAAAAAAGAGTGTCAATGCTGATGTAAATTTACAGTGTAAATCATTAATTTACCTGGACAGTTATTTTCATGAAAATGTCATTAAGGAAATATTTGAATTTTTGAAACAATTAAATAAAATATAATGTTAACGGTTTGTTTTCACCTCATTATTTTATGAAAATTCAATTCGATTATTGACTTTGTTATTTCTTTCGATAGGTCTTTTGTCTGAGCAACAAATTCCCACCATCTAACCCACCTCCATTTCAACATTCTCTGTCATAGATACCACCATTTTGTTCCAGGAGCACAGGTGCAGAATTAAGAGATACTTCTTAAATGGCTAAGATTGCTCAGGATAGCCCTAGTAGTTAGCCCTAGTAGTTCATTCTGATCCTCAAGAATACTCTAATACTTAAGTATATTGCACAGAAGTTATTAGCAGGTCAGACACCTTAGCGAAAAATGTTCACTAATATCACCTCTACGTGCTGTACTTGTATAAAGCTTGGCTTTTTTACTACCACCACTTTTACAAGAGCACAAGAGCTTTTTCCAGTAGTTACATCAAAGCATCTCAGATACTGTGAAATTAAAGATGTGGTATACAATCAACCAGATGATATTTGAAACAAGGAAAAAACCCATACCTTTTCTTGCGAGGACTATACCAGATAGGCCTGAAATTGTAATTACACCAACTTTTGGAAGAAATTCTGGAGGTGGATTCTTCAGATAAACATATGTATCTTACAAATTAAAACAGGTAAGACATGTTAAGTGGAGATTATTTTTTCATTTTAACAAAGTTATATCAAGCCAAAGATGAATTTCAATATAATCCCTAGTCCTACAACTGGATCCTCATGAGTGAAGATGTCTATATTCCTGAGGATCCATTAACTTACTTTCTAGGGGTATGTCTATATGTTCATTTAATTAATGTGCCATAGTACTAACCAAGTACTAAAATAATGCACAGTAACTGGCACTACTGCACAGAAGCATTGGCACACAGGTTTTTACAGACACCAACTGCACAATAGCTTAATACTACTGTGCAGTAGCATACTAGCATGAGTTCTGCCCGGCACGCTACTGCGCAGTGTTATTAGGCTACTGCAATTAGTGTCTCATGCAGATGTACCCAGGAACTGCACAGGAATCTGCACTGGCAGGATTAGGACTCTAATGTGAATCCAAAATATACAACAAAGTTTACAAATGGGTTCAGCAGATAATTTTGAATATGGTAACATGACTTAATAAAAGCAAAGAAGAAAAAAACCCAGTAGTTTTTACTTTCAGATATGTAAAATGGAGATAGATGTATAGCATAGTTGTTTTCCCATACTGATTTTCGTCAATCTCTTATTTATCATGTTATTTTCCAATGGTAATTTCTGATATGCACTTCATTACTTTTAGCTGCAATGCCAGAATTAGCACAAAACTGAACTGCTATTCAGAACTAGAACAATGATACAGGGATCAGAAATTCTTCTCTTTTATCAAACAGCTTGGTGTAGAGCTTTATGCATTCCCTTCTTTAGCTACCAGTTTATAGGTTGTATCAAGTTAAGGGTGGCTATGCACAACTCATGAGGGTGCAGACCCCCTCCTCCCAATACACTCTCCTCTTTGCTGATACAAGAGCAAATTATGTAGTGCACAGAGCACATGGACTACAGAGATCCTTTACAAGACTTTTTGCTCCATTCCTCCTCTCTATCCCTATCAGTAGCCCTTTGACTGCTCTATTTAAGAGAACCCACAGGAGGATGAATAAAAACCAAACTAACTCTAAATACTACCTAATTTTGTAAACAATGTTATGAGTTTCCTTTTTTGATTTTAAATCAAAATCAAAATCAGGGGACCTGGTGACTGTCTATAAACTCACTAGGGGGGACCAGAAGTGTTTAGGGGAGACACTGTTTCCCCTAGAGCCCCCTGGCATGACAAGGAACAATGGACACAAATTATTAGTGAGTAGATTTAGATTAGACAGCCGCAAGAACTACTTCACAGTTAGGGCGGCTAGGAGCTGGAACCAGCTTCCTAGGGAGGTGGTGCTGGCTCCTACCCTGGGGATCTTTAAGAAGAGGCTTGAAGACTACCTGGCTGGACTCATTTGAGTCCAATCTTTTCTCCCGCTCAGGCGGGGGGTCGGACTTGAAGATCTACAAGGTCCCTTCCGACCCTACTTCTATGATTCTATGATAAATAAAGGAGTATAGTAAATCACACAAAACTATTAGAGTGGAATATGCATGGCAGACACCTTTTTATTATTTGTAGATTTTGTTTTGACGCAATAACATTCTTTTAATAAAATTTACTGTTCTTCAGTTTCAACCAGCTTTGTAGTTCACATGGCCAAACAATGACTAGAAAGAGACATTTTTAAATGTCTCTTTAAGCCTTGCCTACCTTTGCCAAATTGGACTGAATCCATTATTCCATTTTTAACGAAGACATAGGCATCCTACAAAAAAGAAAATTGAAAAACAATAAATGAACAGTATTTATCTGAGTTGAGATATTCAATGCTATATTGGTGCAATCATATTTTCTATTTGCACCACATGAGGATGCTGCTATACAAGCTTTGAAACATCATAAGCCACTTGCGGAATTGTTCAAGCTAGAGCACATGGGAAAAGTTTGGCAGAAAAAATGTAATTCTGACTTTGCTATGAGTGTAAGCATAAATGTGTAGAAGCTAAATCCTGGTTTCACTGTCAGAAACAAAGCATGCAGTGATTTCAGTGCAATCAAGATTTGCCAGAAACAAGTTTTGTTTTTCTTTTTCTTTTCCTTTTTCACATATTTGAAAAAGCCAATTAATGTCAGAAGGACAGATATAAAAACATAAAATCTTCACTTGCCAATTACTGAGACAACACTAGAGATGTCACAGTTTACATCTTGTTTTAATGATGTAACATTTTAAATGTTACCAATAGATGCTACCAACCATATTTGTGAACTCCATAAAGGGGCTGAAAGAATCTATTTCGTCACTCTGTTCTTTCACTTAGATTGCAGGGATACCGAATATGTCCATTCACTCCCCTTGCTATGCTGAGACAAAGGTCATCATTTTCACATGTCCCTGAAATTCCACAGCAACTGTGATTTAATTAAGTACTCAAACAAATAGGGTGGAAAATACCTGAATGTTAACGCTGTGCAAAAGAGTGCAGTCATAAAATCCAGGACACTGTTTCAAGCATTAAGGTATAGTTCTTACCGTGATCCATTTAGCATAGCGACTAGCTGCCTTTCTTAATGTAGAAAAGCCCATCTGCAAACGACCAGGTTTTTCTTCAATGTATTTAGATTTCAGAGGCGGTGCACAATAAATGGGAAGCTGGAAGGGAAGGAACAAACATATTGTACAGAACTAGTTTCAGAAACATATAAATAAAGTTTTCAGTTGAAAACAGCTTTTAAAAACATCTTTACAGTAAAAAGAAAATCCTTCCCTCCCATTAGAAAACAAAGTTTTATATCTATGGACTTACTGAACAAAAGTAATTAATTATTTTAAAATCCTTTGAAGATGAGAAGCATTGTATATACATATAATTGGGCAGAGGTTTAGCAAACAAAACTAGGCTGAGATATATTTAGGGATTCTCTGTTTAATGTTGATATTCTAGTTCTAAGTTGTTTTTCTTTCTTGTTGATCTCCTGTTTTATAAGTTATTATGTTCTTCTAATGTAAACCACACTAAGCTTTTGTTGGGAAGAGCAGCAAATAAAAGGAATAAATATACAAATACAAAGAATTAATGTTATTGAACATAAATTATTTAAGACAAAAAGTTAACGCTGGTAGAGTCAGCTTTATATCATGGTAAGCAGTGAGAGATGGACAACATAACCCTTAAACTATGGTAACTTCACCCAATCAAGTAGAGAAAGAAAGAATAAGGGAAGGACAGGGTTGAAAGGATGGAAAAATAATCTACTGTTATGTTATGCTGATTTAGATATTGTATCTGCTTCCATCCTGGGGTAGCCATTTGCTAAATACTAACAGGCTACCATGCAATACGATACAATAATGGTGCCTATGACCCTGGGAGAACTGTATATTTGCCTCTTGATCCCAATGTAAATCACATTGGTATATGTGGCTATCTATCCCCATTCTTACACACACTTTTTACATTTTCTTTCTATAATTTAACACATTTTGATTATTAGTAGTGCACGTATAACAGCAGTGTAGTTACTCCAACATACAGTAATGTAAATAATCACTCTAGAGCAGAAGTGGGCAAAATGGCCAAACAGTCTGGCAGCTGGACTCCATCTCCCAGCTGCCCCTGCCCTCATGGCTTTGGCTGGTTTTCATGGAGACCCTAGCTGCACCTGTGTGGGAAAGCTCAGGCTGGGGTTGCCATGGAGACCAGCCTCAGCAGCAAGGGCAGCACACATGATGGAAAAGTGCAGGGGGCTGTTCCGGAGCCTCTAGGAACTTATGATGGGGGCAGCTTGCTCTGGAGCCAGGGCAGAGGTGTGATCTAAAGCCTGCATGCTCCAGGCAGGGGCACGCAAGCAGGGGATCACAGTTCTACCCCGGCTCCTTGCAGTGGTGACAGCCTGGTCTGGAGCTGGGGCAGAGCTGTGATCCCCTGCTTGTGCACCCCTGCCCGGAGCGTGCAGGCTACAGGTTGCGGCATTGCCCCTGCCCCTGCTCCATGCATGCTGCTGAGGCTGGTCTCCATGGCAGCCCCAGCCTCCGCCTTCCCATCCAGGTGCAGCTGGGGTCTCCATTAAGACCGACCCAAGCCATGAGGGCAGGGGTGGCTGGGAAATGAAGTCCATGGCTGACCACATTTGGCCCATGAGCTGGACTTTGCCCATCGGTGCCTGCCAGCAGTGCACATCAAGTTCTTGGAGTGCTGGAGATGACATAATGGTACATGGGGTGGTGTGACCGGATCAGGGCCCAGGAGTGGCTGTGACATCTCCTGATGGGCACTTGACCCCTACCTCATTCTGGCTCCTCAGAGTACCCTCACTTTCTACCTTACCTGCCATACCTTGATGTTATTCACAAGGTTTCAGGAGGCGGCTGACCCCAGGATCCCAGAGTGAACCTAATCTAGCTCCACCTTGCCCCTCAGACACTACACTATGGCCCTCCTGGCCCTATTAGTACCTTTGGACACCAGTTGCCTTATGGGCTATTCATGGCCTCCTTCTGCCCCTGTAGCCACATCCATGCCTCACAGCTGTGACTAAGTTGTTTACTGGGCCCTGTTAAGGCTTTTTATACTTCAGTCAGCATGCCAGGCCCTGGAAAGGCTCTCTCTTTTCCCTGGGCCTCTGGCCCTACCCCTTCCCCAGGCTTTGGCCTGCCCTGGCCTCAGCCTTCTACTCTCTGGGCTGCTGACCCCAACACACCTACTGTAACTCTGTGCTAGGCCTCAACCCCCTGGGACCCTGAACCCAGGCCAAGCTGTTCCCATTGGGCTTGGCTCTCCCAGCCTCAGCTTGCACCAGCCCACATCACTCTGGGCCCCTGACCCCAGCCTTAGGTCTCCCAGCCTTGGCTTAATGCATCACACCAGCTTCAGCCCCCTGGGTCCCTGACTCTAGGCAAGGCTTGCTGATATTGAGTACCCACCAGGCATCCCTCTACGGCCTCCACACCTCCCCCATAGCCACAACCCGGTCCTACAGTTTTCCTAGTCAGAACATAAATGCACGCAAAATGGGTGTACAACAAAAATTCTCCCCACACTGGGTAATTACTTCCCTGATGTCCTTAGTTCTTTCCTTGCAGCTTTCTGGGAAAGCTTGGGTGCCAGTCAGTCCATCTTTTACAGTCATCTTGCTCAGGACCTCCTCTCCCTGCAGCCTGCAGGGCCATTATGACTTTCTAGTCTCAGGCATTAGACTTATTGCCTCCAGAGCCCCACCCCTTCCTGTCAAATGGCTCTCCAGCCACCCAGAGGGGTTTCTGCTGTGGCCTGATGGCCAGCCGGCCCTTCCCTGCTGTGGCTTAGCTCAGCTGCTTGCTTCTGGACTGCCTAGATGTCTGCTCCCCTTCACTGCTTACTGCAGTGACTATCTTGGGATAGTCACTCTTGAAGTGGTAGCTTCTATCCCTGCTGTCACTGGCCTGTTTGCTTCCCAGCAGCTAGCTTTTGCTCAGCTGCCAGTCCCATTCAGCAAGCTTGGCCTGACACTACCCTTAAAGTTACAGGAGCCTCTGGCTCCCTGTTACAGGTGAAGAGGCCAACTTGCAGTGAAACTCTTCTTGATATGCTTCTCGCAAACAGGGAGGAATGGTAGAGAATGTCAAAGTGGAATGCAACTTGGATGTCACTGACCATGAAATGATTGCATTCAAGATCTTAAGAAAAGGGAGAAGGGAGAGTAGCAGTATAAAGACTTTAGACTTTAGAGAATAGGTGGGAAGGATTTCCAGGGAGACAAATCCGAGAGAGAAAGGAGTCCAGGAGTAAGCTATCATGATTCAAAGAAACGGTAAAAAGTACAGCAGACTAGCTTGGTTAAACAGTGAACTCTTCAATAAACTGAACATCAAAAAGGAATCCTACAAAAAGTGGAAACTTGGTCATATTACTAGGGCATAGTACAGAAGTATCACGTGGGTATTCAGACAGAAAATCAGGAAGGTCCAAAGCATAATTTGCAACTAACAAGGAACATTAAAGAGGTTCTACAACCAAGTCAGAAGTAAAAAAGTGACCAAGGAAAGTGTAGGTCCTTTACTGAATGCAGATGGCGATATAGTAATGGATGAGAAGGCTAATGTTCTTTTTATTTAGTCTTTATGCTTAATGTCAACTATTAGTTGACACATGTAGTTTGCAGCACTGATAGGCAAGGAGATAAGCAGACTGAAGTAGTGGAAGAATAGGTTAAGAATTTCCATGGGAAGCTATATGCTTTCAGGTCAGCTGGTTTGGATGGGACACATCTAAAAGTACTGAACAAATTGGTTGAGATAATTTCAAAACTATCTGTTTATTATCTTTAAGCTCTCATAAGAGTTAGGAGAGGTCCCAAATGACTAGAAAAGGACAAATATTGTACCAATCTTTAAGAAAGGGAAGGAATACCTGAAGAATTAGGAACTAGTCAGTCTGCCGTCAGTACCTGGAAAGATCATAGAGCAAATTTTCAAGGAATCTATTTCTTAGCCCCTGGAGGAGAAAAAATGTGATCAGGAAAAACCTACATGGATTCAAGAGCAAGTCATGCCTGACTAACCTGATTTCCTTCCATGATAAGCTGATGGGTTCTGGATAATGGGGACGGGAATAGTTGATGTGATACCTTGGTTTTGTCAAGATTTTTTACACTGTCTGCCATGACATTCTTATTAGAGAGCTAAAGAAACAGAGACTGAATGAAAGTACTCTAAAGTGGATATATAACTTATTGGACCGTCATGCTCAATCAGCAGTTATCAATGGATCAATGCCTATTTGGGAAGAGGTATTGAGTGGGGTTCCCCAGAGGTTTATCCTGGGTTCAATATGGTTTAATACTTTCACTAACGATTTGAAGTTTGGGATTGAGTATACACTCAGAAAATTTGCAGAGGATACCAGTTGGGTTGAGTTGCAGACTCTCTGGAGGGTAGGGTTAAGATTTAGAATGACCCTGATGAACTGGAGAAATGATCTGAAGTCGAATGAATAAAATTCAGTAAGGACAAGTGCAAAGTCCTGCCCCTCAGGTGAACAATTGCATATACAAATACAGACTGAGGAATGACTGGCTAGGCTGTGGTACTGCAGAAAAAGATCTGAGGATTACAGAGAACCATCAACTGATATGAGCTAACTGTGCTCTTGTTGCAAAAGGCCAATAGTATACTGAGCTACAATACCAGAAGCATCTCTTGCAAACCAAGGGGAGTATTTCTTCCACTCTACTCAGGACTGGTGAGGCACTGTGTGGAATAATGGGTCTAGTTTTGGCTCCTCGTTTCATGAAAGATGGGGACAAATTGGAAAAAGTCCAGTGAATAGCAGCAAGAATGATTAGAGGTCTGGGAAAAATGACTTATAAGTCAATTTTGGAAGAGCTGAGATTATTTAGTTTGGAGAACAGAAGACTAAGGGGGAATTTGATAACAGCATTCAAATGTCTAAAGGGAGATTATAAAGAGGATGAAGATGCACTTTTGTTTGTGGCTGTGACTAGGAGCAATGGCCTCAAACTGTAGCAGAATAAAATTTAGATTAGACTTTCAGAGAACCTTTCTGACTCTCGGGTGGTCAAATATTAGAAAAGGCTTCCTAGAAAAGTTGTGAAATGCCCATTGTTGGAAATTTTCAAGAGCAGGTTGGACACACTTGGCTGCGATGGTTTAGTTAGGAATGATCCTGCCTTGAACAGGGGTCTGGACTAGATAACCTTGTTATCTAGAAAACCTAGAAAACCCTTCCAGGCCTACTTTTCTATAATTCTGTATCACTCTTAGTTAAACAATTTTGTTTGCTGTGCAACATCATTCAAAGGGAAGCCTTGGTAGTTTTCGAATACTTCTAGTTATTGTTTGAAAAAAAAAAAAGCTGCAGCAACAAGAATCTCACCTGATTTGGCTTTATTGGGTGGGTTTTTGATTCTTCTTCTGTTGCAGCATACACACTAATAGATGTACATGCCAGAGCACAAGGGACAGCTACCAGCTTGGCCATCTGGGACAGAGAAAGATAAAAAAAATGCAGCTTTAAGTGTTGAGAAATCATATTTTCTCCGCTTCATTAACATCCAGTAGTAATTTCAGAAACACAGTTGTGTGTCTGATCAATCTGACATGCTTCATCTGTTATTTGATTATTTAATTTAAATTGGTTTTAAAATGTACCTTTAAAAATCCTCTTTTGTAATATAAAACATTTTAGAAGAAACAACAGAAGTTTTTTAAACAAAAAATACTCAGGTATTCAGAGAGGTCCACAACCTGAAAAGTACAGTCTAATGTACAAGTACAGCCCAACTACCTTTTAAAGCAATGTTTTATCATTCAGAATTAATTCTGAAAGTACTCTAAAAGTACACTAGTATATCAGCTAATTCAGTCTCAGAGAGCAGCAAAAGTTGTTTCTCACTGTTACTATCATTGCCAGTACCACAATACTGTGGCTGGACATTTCTGTCTGCACTCATTTTAGTAAATACAATGAAATATTGACTGCACAATACTGTCATTCATTGCTTATGAAGTATTATTACGTATATTGCCCAGTCACAGACTTCAATCTCACTGTGCTAAGTCCTGTATAAACACAATTTGAGACAACAGGTCCTAGTCGAAGGGTGTGTATTTCTCACAACTACTAACGCCCCCTATTTTAAGGATAACTGGTAGAATTCCACAACATTTATGCTATTTCTCAGATCTTTTGAAATTCTGTAGTAAAACTCAAAATTACCATATCCAGTAAAATCCCTGTTATCTGACGTGAGTGGGGAATGCTGGGTGCCAGTTATGTAAAAATTCCAGTTATCTGAGGCAGATAACGCAGAGCGGAGGGGGAGGAGGTGGTGGCAGCCATACACAAAGCAGCGGCAGCGCAAGGTGGTGGGTGGCAGCGGCAGTGGCCAACGTGTGCAAACTTCTGCCCCCCCCCTCGCATCCAGCCAGAAATTCTGGTTAATAGAGTATTCTGGCTTGTAGAATGCTGGATAACAGGGATTTTACTGTATATTCAAAAAAACTTATCTAAAGCGTAAGCTGTGTTTTCTTTTCTAGGTTCTACCCCAGAATGACCCTCATTATTTGCTATATGACCATGGGCATTTCCTATGTGATCACCAGGTCAAAGATAGACCTGTCAGGCCTGGTTTTAGGAAGTGCTGAGCACCCACAACTCCAATCTAAGTCAGTGGGAATAACAAGTGGTCGGAAACTCAGGCCTGAGGTATCTCAGGGTCTGAACAAACTATCAGAACACAGTGAATATGCAGGGGATACAGATTTTCTGTGAAGCAACAATAAAGTACTATATTAGAGATAAAGGATGTACACAGGCATATCTTAGGGCCATTCAACTGATTCTTGCTGTTCTTCAGTTGACATTTCATTTGATTTCAGGAGACTGTCATACTGTACCTGACTCTGTCCATATACATTTTTTTGGAAAAAAACCCCAGCAGATTTAAAAGAGAAAAGAATCAAACCACGACTCTGGAACTCTTAAAACGTTCAACATTTTTTAACACTAAAAATATAGAGTATTTTCCCTGACCTCATAATCTGAAACCAATATAAAAATATCAAACCTGGAAAATGTCAGCACAAATGGTTTAAGTTTGGTACAGTTATAGGCAAACAGAAGAGGGACTTCTAACAGGAAACATTAAAATAAACTTAAGTATAAGACCCCCAACAAACTTTATAGATAAATTTATATAACTAACAGCTCCCTAAGACAGAAGTCTCAATATACAGAACCATATGTCAGTAAATAAGCAAACAACAGATATAGTATGAATTTAAAGATTGTAAACTGGGCTTGTGGTTACATCTGTAGACTAAGAGCCTGTTTTATTATAATCTGGAGTAACTGAAAGATACCCTCTCAGTTTACATGTAAAATAAAGTTTGTTTCTGTAAGTGCCAGATTTACTAATTCTACCAAGATCCAAAAAGCTATGTTGGTTCATTCAAAAAAATTCCAAATATTCTTCAGATAAAACATAAATAAAAAACCTGAAGTTGTGTTAAATCTGCTATACTAAAGGCGCATCTACAGGAGACACGTTAATGTGCGTTACCCTTAATGTGCATTAAAACGGTGAAATTAGGCTAATCATGCCTACATTTGATACCTGCAAATTTGATACCCAGCTACTGCTATACCCCCAATGCTTTGGCTGCAAATGCAGGTAGCAAATGTAGGATTGATTAGTTAAAGCGCATTAAAGCATGTGTAGACACTAGTAGGGGTACATGGCAGGGCTGCAGGGACTTGGTACTAACTTTAGTCCCAAGTCTCTGCATGTGCAGACACCTGGCAAAAATCGCTTAATGTCCATTAAATTGACATTATTGGCAATCAGCTTTTTTTGGCTGATGTGGCTGATAATATTGCCAATAAACGCTGCGTGCATGTGTACAGCTGCAGCATGGATGGGGCCAGGAATGCAGCCTGGTAGCTTGGAGAGTAGCACCTGGCTGGTAAGTCTGTGGGGGGGGGAAGGGACAGGGGGATGGAAGGGGCATGGGGAGAGCAGATCAAGGCCCCCAAGGTGAGGGAGGGAGTGGGGCTAGGGCAGGTGCTACTCAGCCAGGGTGGCATGCAAAGTAAAGTCATGAGCAGCTTGTCTGGGGGCTGCAGGGGAGAGGTATGGGGGGCACATGCCCCCCGATTTGTGCATGGGGCAAGGGTGGGCTGCCTGCTGTGCACTCAGGGCCAGGTGGTGTGCTCAGGCTGGGCGGTGGTGGTGCTATGAGAGAGGACTATGGGGAGCTATGGTGAATTTTGGGATGGCTGTAGCCCTCCCCAGCAGCCCCATCCCAGTGCTGCCACTGCCCACCTCACCCCTGCCCACCCTGAGCACGGATCTGGGGGTCACATGTCCCCCCATGCCTCACCTCACCTGGGGTGTGTGCAGTAGCAGAAGACACCCCCTGCCTCTGGACGAGCCACCCGTGACTTCGTCCCACACCCGGCTGGGCCATGCCTGCCACAGCCACAGCCCCTCCCTTACCATGGCAGCCTCAATCTGCTCCTCCCACTCTCCTTCCCTCCCCCACACCCCTTCTTCCCAACAGACTTACCAGCCAGATGCTGCTCTCCAATGCATATTGCCAAATTGATCGTTGTTGGCAAATATGGCTGGTCAATAATCAGCATAGGTACTGGTCCAAAGAAAGCTTAATTGGTGCAGCTCTAATTACTTTTCTTTGAGAAATGAGCATGACTTTCATGATAGTGTCCCAAGGTATCAGCAATAATTTACTCCTGGAAGATGGGTTTAAAAAACAGCGTAGCTTATAACGCCATAGGTTTTTAAGTGCCCATCAATGGTTTCCTGCTTAAAAGAATTGATCCAGTGAAGTACTCCAGTGGAACAAGACTTTTGGTGTAATTTCTGAAAAGATAAGAGAATGTTGCTACTACCCTTTAAAGATCATAGAAGTATTCCTGCTACATACTGTTCAATTATGTCAAAGTAATGTCATGGTTATAACATTAAGCTCAAGACTGACGTGATTTTAGCATTAAAATTTGTCAGTTGTTTCTGATACACAACAAGATTACTGCAAATTATGTTTAATCAGAAGTCATGTGACTAGTTTCTTTATAGGAGTTTGGTTCCAGTGCTCTTTGGTTACCTTACAAATGACAGAAAATCAAATGATAAGCGTATTTTCTCTGAAAACCATTGTAAAGAAAAAATTAAGTCTCACCTCCTTCCCTGCACACTATATCAGGCACCCCACCTCACCCTCAGCTCTCTAGTTGTGGGCTTTCCTGCTGCACCATGCTCTCAGCACTGCAGGGTGGGCCATGCTGCATCACTGCAATCCCTGGGATGGCACCAGGAGGGAGAAGGAACCTGAAGACCATGGCTGCTCTTGCAGCCAGAGCACTGGGGGTAGCAGTAGCTGGGTGGGAGCCCAGGGGCCACAGTTTAACCCTTTACAGGCTGCCAGTTGGACAGCCCTGGTCCAAAATATCAAAATCAGGTTAACCAGACTATTATTTTACCAGGTCCTCCTTTTTCCACTTTTTGATACTCATAACTTCTCTAATCTTCTAGAACCTCAATTAGTACCATAAGTTTGTAAATAATACTACCCGTGGCTTTAAGAATTTCTTCAGCTAATCATTTCAGGACCCTGAGGTGAAATTATTTAGGCCCTACTGGCTTGAAGTCTTTTAAATTGTTCAGAAGTTCTTAGATGTACTGTTAATTCATTATCTGCATCCTTTCCCCCTATTTCTTTATATAACTTTTTCTAGTTTCATGACAGTGTATTTTTCTGTGAAGAATGAAGCAAAGTAGTCAATATAACAAGAGCAAACAGCTAAACAGTGAGGTAACAGAAAGAGGTCAACTCACTTATTGTTTTGGAAGAAGGCAAAGAGGCCTAGCTGGATCAGGCAGGCACAAAGAAAAGAAAAATGCTAACGTTAGAGCTGTACAGCAAGCAGAGAAAACAAGCAGATAAAAAATTACAGAGCTGAAAGATGGTGCAGGGTCAAGGGAAGTTCAGATGGTCAGAAACACAACTGACAAGTACTTACTAGGACAGAAAAAGAGTGAAGGTGATTTAGCATTTGCCTGCAATAGGAGACCTCTGAGTGCGACAGACATAACACCTGAACAGTTTCAAAAATGTCACTGACTGGGAACTGGTTCACAATTGTCGCAGTTTAGAGGTGTCCATACACACACTGCCAAGGGTCCTAGGTAGGAGCCACTTTTTAGATATTTCAGTGTTGTCAAACTATCACCAGGGGGTGACAGTGAATACCCAGCTTAGCATGCCTCCGTGGCAAGTGCCCCAGTTTCCCCAGTATTTCCTGAGCAGAGAAGGCAGACAGTATGAATGGCCCACAATTGCAATTCACTGATCCCCCTTCTCACTGAGTTCAGTAAAAACCATTCCCTGCACTGTACCAAAGTCTTCATGGTGGTACCCTCACTAGAGGTGCTTAGATGTGTGTGGGGAAGGGTGTGA